AAAAAATTTGAATTTGGGTTTCTAAATGTGTCTTGAATATTGATGGTTTCATGACAGGCGGTGATTTACTGCACAAAAACAAAATTGTGGTCAGAACAAACCATGTCTATCCTCTGCACTATGATAAATTTGTATATTTAATGTAGTCTAGCTCATTTTCTTTTATTTTTGTAGTTTTGTTCATTGTTTTTGAGGATGAGGTCTTGTTATGCAACTTGTCCATGTTAACTAGCTAATTTGCTTTTTGTGCCAAAACACTGTGACGTTTGATTGAGCACAGCCTTCATATCAATAACAAAAGATGTGGAAAGCCTTTAAAAAGTTAAACCTGTTTAATTTACACAATTATGCATTTAGTTTTATTATATATTTTATGCATTTAGCATTGTATCTCCCCGTAGTCTGTGACTCTGCTATCTATGACTCTCATATTAGACCTGCAACCCATCTAAATCACAGAATCTGAGAATCTAAATCACATTGCAGCTTTAGCAGTCTGTCTCAGCACCTCTCTCCCACATCAGAGGACAGTTGCACACAAGAAGGTGGAGGATCAGATTGCCACCTGGTGGTTGTAGTGTATAAGTGCATATATTGAAACACTCCTCAGGGAGTGTGATTTGCCATTCAGATCAGACTCAATTCAGGGCTGATTAAAGTAGAAGTGTTTCAAGCGCACTGATCTCTGTATTATTAGGTGTGTCCATTTAAAAACATGTCTGGGCTGCTCTGCTCTGTGAAGCTGAAGTGTATAGCTAGATTTGCTTGCCTCACCTCAGGCTGTTAACTGTTATTGCTGGCGCCTTACAGAGTTAACCATGGGCAGATCCACCACTGAAAGCAGATTTGATTATGTGCGAGGAGTAAAAGCTGGCCAATGAAATTATGCAGGCAACTGAGTTATTAAACTTTGTTTTTAAGTGAAATTGCATGGTTGCATTTACATTTACAACAATGTACATGAGCAAGATTTGATTAGCAATTGTTTGTCTTATCACTTTGCCCAGGTTGTTTGGCAGTAAGGCCAGCAGTAAACCCAGTTCCCCTGGCACCCCTGACTCAAGTAAATGCCCATCAGCACTGGGCAGCCCTCATGGCACACTGGCGCGGCAGGCCAGCCTGGATTCACCCTCCTCAGGAACAGGTAGTCTTGGCAGCATGGGTGGGCAGAGCGGAGGCAGCAGCCCGCTATATGGCAAAACGCCCGATCTGTGTACTGACTCCCCGGCTTCTAGTCCGGCGTCAGGCCTCTCTCTGCCCTCTAACGCCCGGCCTTGGCCACCAAACCTCAGCAGTTCATCTGCGGGCAGTAAAGACACACTGAGCTGCCACAGTATGACCAGTTTACACACAAGCTCAGAGTCCATAGACCTGCTGCTCCCACACCACCATGGGCCAAAAGTCACCCGCACGGGCAGTGTCAAGTCCACCCTCTCTGAGGGGTAAGTGGAGTAGATCCAACAAATGGTATTCGTTGAATGACATAATATATTGCTTTATAAAAGGCATATTACATGTTAATGAAATAATGGAGCATTAGTTTGATGTTAAAATCTATTATTCATGATATGATCTTAGTCATTTAAACTGTCAAAGTGCCTGTTTGTCGTAGATAACACTCCTGTTTTTCTTCTGTTTTAATAGCATGCCTCTTGACAGAAACACTCTCCCCAAAAAGGGATTAAGGTACTAATATAACCCCTATCCATCAAATTGTCTTCATAAGTATGTTTTTATGTTCTCACCTCCATCATTAGTATTGGCTTTTAAACTTGTGTCACTTACCCACTACATGTGTTTATCTATGTATAAGTGGTGTTTGCTAACCCTGAATACTAGACTTTGGCACCTCAACCTGTACCAACTATCTCAAATCATGAGGCTTTTTGAAGGGACTTGTGCAATTACTTTTCAAAGTGAATAAACCTACATTGTTTTCACCTGGTGGATGGTAAAATAGGTGAAAAGAAATTAATTATATTATTCAGAAAGGACACATTAAATGAATAAAGTGCCAGTCAAGACATGTACAGTGTAACAAAAGATCTCTATTTCAAATTGAAATCAAATGCTGTTAATCATACTAATCAAAGAATTCTGAAAAAAAATGTTTCCACAAAAATACTATATTACTGTTTCCAAAAAATATTAAGCAGCACAACTGAAGACTTATTTAAAACTGTTAATAGCTGCTGAAAACTGACCATTTAAATTGAAAAAATATTTCAGTGTAGTACTGTTTTATACTGTATTCATGCTGAAAGAGACTTCATTTAAAAATATATAACAGAAGGCAGGACCTGAGTCATATCTATAGACTAGAATATCAAGAGACTTGGGGATGGCCTCTTTTGACCTGAGCCATTAATTCACTACCAAACAACCACTTAGAACACCTTAGTAACTGCATAGCAACATTCTGACAATGAACCACAAAGCTGGCAGTGTTGGCAAAATGTTTTGCATGCTGTATCCACAGTGACTTGTCAAACTGTGTGACTCACCAGTCTTCCATTTATTAATGCTTTTAGCAAGAGACAACCACAGAAACCACAGCAGGAAAACATCACAATGTTTTTAAGAAGCAATTAAGTATTCATAAAGATAAGCACAGCATTTAAATAAAATCAGACTATTGTGTTAAAACCACTATAAAAGCGTCATCAATCTGCAGTCATGATGAAAGATAAACTGCCTAAATGCTGCATGCGTGTGACCTTCTATTTGCAGGTAAATCACAATGTGAGCAAATCAGTTATAGTCTGTTAGGTCACAATATGGTATTTTAATACTAAAGACTCTGCTCAGGTCAGCAGTGATGTGTGTACTGAAGATGGTCCAGCCAGGAAGATCCACGTGATCTTCATTAGTTTTATGGAAACTGTCTTTCAAGCATGCTGATAAGACTGCCCACTGCCTTAAGCTATTACTGCAGAACAATGGATGTGAGACTGTGTGGGCAGTTATTATCATCAAGCTTTATTGCATAAATCATTTTTACACCCTATCACAGCCAGAGATTTAGTGCTTTCAGTTTTATAGACTCAATATTTGGAACAGAATGCATTTTCCGAAAAACACTTTGAAAAAGCATTTTGGGAAAATATTACCTCATGGAATGGCTAAAATAGTCTGTTTGCAACCAATAAGGTACCCTCCGTCCTCCAGACAGACGTCACATGAGGAAGGAAAGGAATGGTTGCGTTCTCACTCCACTGGAGGACTGCAGGACACAGGAAGTCCACTTTCACCACCGGGCACAACCAGTATCAACACTGGCAAATACCACTACTCAAACCTGCGTATGTTAACATCTATCATATCTGATTTATGCTTTTTAATGGTAGAACCCAAAGAAATATCTTGATTTCTCATTATTCCATGGACAAATAAATAATGTTTTTGTGACATCCTGACATTTGTGTTGCAGTGAGCCCCACCAGTATGTCGCAGTATAATCTTCCCAGCACCAGTATGAGCCGCTCCAACAGTATTCCAGCACAGGACTCGTTCGAGCTGTACGGGGAGGGACACAATTTGGGTGGCAGTGCCACCTCGCTGGAGGAACGGCCACGTGGGATGAGTCGGTCCGGCTCCTTCCGGGACAGCACAGATGAAGGTTAGCATTGCAGTTACTTCCTTTAGAAGAATGTATTTATCTGTACATGTACATCTATAACTTTTCTGTTTGTGCACCTGTGTGTTAGAAAACAGTAGTTTGTAGGTTTCCTGTAGCATTAAAGAAAGAAATATTTTTGCTCTCTTGTGTTGTTCTGTTCTGTCTGCAGTTCATGGTTCTTCTCTATCTTTGGTCTCGAGCACATCATCTTTGTATTCTGCGGTGAGTGACCTTACAGTGTTCTTACAAAAGGTTGTAATAAACAGACTGACTAAACTGTCAAATTTCAATTTTGCAAAAGAAATAGGAAGTCTTGGCTGTAGCTTTCTTTGAGATTGTATGTATCTGTGAAAAAGCATGTTTCCTCATGTTTCTTCATTTAAAAGTTGTACACATAAATAAATCAACAGTACTTTTCAAAAATATGATACAATAAAGGCACACCAGGGTAAAAGATCCATTTAATACTATTTTCCCCTAAACCACTAGATGGCAAAAAAAAAAGGTTTCTAAACATCCATGTTTCACTATGCATGCGGGCAGCAATGCAAAGTCAATTTTTGCATTAAATTAATCTAATATTGAATTTTTTTGTTAAAACAAATGATGATCATTCAAATTATTTTGAGACAAAAGCCTTCTGTTTCAATGAAGGTAATTAAATAAGCAGTTTTTCAAAACCAAAGAACATGTAAAATAATGGTATTTGGGGTAAAAAAAAAAATGCCTCTACTTTTGGGGCTAAGGGCAAGATAATTTATGAGATAATAGCTGGCTGATATTTTCGTTTGTTGACATGACATGATTAGATTAAAAAAGGTCAGTACTATTTATTAAGCCATTTATCCACTTAACAGATAATCACCATATTTATAATGTATTTTTTAAATGACCATATTTTATGGCAATGCATTTATTGAGAAAAAAAAATGCTACAAACCTATTTTTGCAATCATACACTATAAGAGTAGTGAAAAACCTGTTGTACCCTATAATGATAAAGACTGTTTGAGTGTATTGTTTCAGTGCAATTATGTATTTTAACTAATTTGTGCTTACATTTCATTCATTTATTTATATATATATATAATTTTCCATTTGCTAGGCTTCCTTTCAAAATATAATAGATAAACTTTACATTCCTTGCTTGAATCTTGCTTCCTATATTGAAAGTCATATTAGTTCATAGTAAATTCATCAATATTAACTGCTAGTATCTGAATAACAGTAGCCTCATACATGCTGTTTCCATTTGCCTGAGCTTGAAAAACTAATACATTTAAGGAGTCATTTATTTGAGAAGGTATGAAAGTTGAACACTTACTGTTACATCCACTATTCATCAAGGCTGTGAATAAAGACTTATGAAGAGATTTAGAGAGATGGCTCATGGTGGCTCAGTATTGTGACTTTGCCACTGTTTGAACACACATTTTCTCACTTTCAGGTGCTGGCATTTTTAGACAAGGTAATAATTTGTCATGCAGAAAATCTGCTTGTATTCACCTTCACATTTTTAATTACATGCAAACCCTAACAGTCTAACTTTTGGCTTCAAATCAGCTACTACTAACGGATAACCAAAAGTCTGATCATTGGTTATTTTGTATGGCTTTGTGACTTACCTTTAATTGTTTGGAAAGAGCTGGTGTGGATTTTGGCTTCTTAATTCTTTCTTCTTATTGGATCTATTAGGAAAGTGATTTTAAGGTTATGTGCGCAAAAAAAAGCTATTGGGATGTTGGTAATATTGTATTTGGGTCATTTTTCTTGTCCTTTAACTGTTGTTTTCTTCCACAGACGGAGGAGAAGGCCCACTCAGAGGTAATAATATCTTGTTTCCTAATTATATTTGTGATTTTGGTAGAATCAAATATGTAAAAGCAATAAAAGGTCAAACAGTGATGCACTTTCACAAAGTCCAACATCAGCTGGTTGACTGAATCGGACAAACAAACCAATATATTTAAGTGTTTTCAAAATTGAAAATGTAACCCTATGTTGCATTATTTTATGAGACACTCATACAGTCACACATATGGCACACATACAGTCATGGACAAACTTCTTTAACACTCACATCCATAATTTCCCGGGTTCACTTTGATTTGGACTCTTGTTCACTTGATCACTGATTTTCCTTTGATTTCACTTCCTTTTGTGTTTGTGTGCTATTACTGTTCTCTCTCCTGCTAACATTTGTCCAAGACTGCAGACTTTTGTATATGCTGTGTCATGTAATGCTTCACATGCAATGAACAGTAACTTTTCCCTATAAGTGCTAAAAACGAATGTATTCTTGTTTCATGGTTAAACCTGCATTTTTTACGAACATGCAACATAGAGTTAATTGTACTTTTCTTTTCTCAATCAAGGGCCAAACAGTCCAAAATACAACGGTAATTTCCCATTTTACATAAACTCTCTTCTAGTATAATACAAGAGAAAGCATTGGAAAATATTTCAAAGTCTTACATGCCAGAGTGCTTTCCAGAGGCCACTGATTGATATCAAGGTTCTTTTGTTACTGTTAAGCAAAGAAAATGAAAGCAGTTTATTCTCCATTGCTTGAGTGCACAGCTCATAGAGCGTTGTAATGAGAAACCATTTCTTTTCCTACAGCAAATCAGAAAACTGCGAAGAGAGCTGGACTCTTCTCAGGAGAAAGTGGCGACCCTGACCTCTCAGCTGGCGGCCAATGTAAGTTTGATGCAAAAAAAACTAAGAAAAGCAGTCAAAAGTCATCCAAATACCTTTCATCTAGTTTTTTATTTTTATTTAGAACACATAATACATGCCTGTGCTGTGGTAAATTTCAGCGTAATTCCAAGATCCTAGAAGATTTAATAATAATTACTTTGAAATAATAGATTTTAATATATCCAAAAATATATAAAAAAAAATATTGAAATAAATCACTTTCAGGTCCAAACCTCAAAAATTGCCTCAAAATTAGAAATGTACTATAATAAGAATAATAATAATGCATATTATGAAATAAGAGGTTAAAAAAAAATATATATATATATATATATAATATAATATAATACTAAAGGTTATAGCAGAATTTTTTTTTTTTCTAAATGCACTGCGGTGACTTTTAAAGATAAACTGTTCATAGTCTGTATGTTTGGGAATTTGAATTCTCAAACGTTTAATTTTTGACTAGTATTCTGAGAAGAAGTCCCTACATTGTCAAAGTAGGACACTGTGTTTCACAGCATCTTATTACATTTCTGTGTGAATGCATCGCAGGAAGAGAGCAAAGTTTGGACTGGGCTGTGCTCGATTCACTTTCCTGTCTCTGGAGTGATGAAGGCAGGTGTGATGCAGGGCTTTGCTCTCTGACAGTTTAGTGAGAAGTGTGACAGAGCATGAGACAGCAGCTGTCTCTCCACTCGACCTCCTCTGTGATTTGTGTTTGACAGGATTCGTGTATGGGAGAACGGCTCCGAACTACATCTATTCAAGTTGTACAATAGTTGAGTGGATTGAAATGTCTGCTCTCCAGCCAGATGTTTTTGAACTACTCAGTGTCAGAACAACTTTTGAAAGTTGGTGTTCAGTGTTCAGGGATTCAAAAGAGCATCTTTGTTTCTTTCTGTTGAATCCTGATGTTCCACAGCAAGATGGTGTATAAAATAAAATGATGAATGAACAACACAGAAACACATCATATGAAGATTATATTGCACTTTCTGAAAAAAAAAATGTTGTCACATTTGGACCCAAAAATTATTTGGACACTAACAACACAGTTAAAAATGCCTGATTGCCATTCCATTAGATATCAAACCAATATCAAACAATTTATTTTAAAATTAGCATAAGCACACTTTTTGAACTGTTTGAACTTGAGGGAATCCTCCACTAAAAGTCACCTACAAATTCAAAAGGTCCATAATTTGCTTTTAAGTGTATGTTAAGTGTCCAAGTTAGGGTATGAACTTTCAAAGTTTCTCTATTTCTTCCATCCACAACTTTGTGCCCACCCCTTGGATAATCCCTCAGTCTCATGCGCATTTGTGTCAGAGAGTCTGTGCAGTTCTATAGTGTTTTAGGGTGTGAGAGAGCTTAAGGATGGCTGTGGCTAACAGTGGTAGTGCTTTAGCCATTATCCATGCAAAGAGAGCCAAGATCAGTTTGTTCAGATGTCGTTACGGCTGCAAAACATCTGGATTTCATCACAACCACACCAGGTAGGATGATAACATGAGATGTGGCTTTATATATGTGGTTTTATGTTGCTGCGTCATATTCTTAATATGTGGCTTTCGTTTTTTGGTGAATATCATAGTTGAAAACAACTTTAATGTCAAAATGTCCACCTTGAGATTGTAGACAGGTGAGAGTTTGTTTAGTGGGATTCGTGCGTCAGGCACCTTTGTGTATGGATTTTGGAAATGCCGCTTGTTTCAGATGTGCTTGACTGGGCTGAGAGCATCAGTGTGGACAGATAGTTGAGGGAATATAAATGGATGGACAAACAGGTCAGGGCAGGGCACATCGTAAAAGTGTGTTTATAGAGGCGCTCTCCCATTAGAGTCACTCAAGCATTTGGCATTGTGCCTCTCAGTGTTCGCTTGCCTTCACTTCCTGGCAGGCATTTTAAATAGTATATACCAAGAACCTTTTGAATAAAGCTCTGCCTACTGCTAAAAATATAATAAAACACGGTGATATTTAATTTAAATATTAGACTTTTATTTTACAACTGTTTAGAACTTTTATTTAAATTGTGTTGTACTTTGTACCTTTGATTATTGTGTCATTTTTATAGTATAGTAGTAGATATAACAAGAAATAATCAAGAGAAGAAGGACAAAATATGTTCAAACATGCATTTACCATGTTTGTTTTATTTTGTTTTATTGCTAGTTTTACACCTAGCAATAAACGTATGCATTGTTAACAAAATCAGTTTTGTTTTGTTTTGTTTTGTTTTGTTTTGTTTTGTTTTGTTTTGTTTTGTTTTGTTTTGTTTTGTTTTGTTTTATTGCTAGTTTTACGCCTAGCAATAAACGTATGCATTGTTAACAAAATCAGTTTTGTTTTGTTTTGTTTTGTTTTGTTTTTTGTTTTGTTTTGTTTTGTTTTGTTTTGTTTTGGTTTGCTTTGCTTTGCTTTGATTTGAATTTAAGAACACTGTGAGTCAAAGGTCAGATGATAGCCAGATAGTCAGATTATGTTTTTGAAGTATTAAATCTAAGATTGTTACATTTCGTTGTGTGAATATTCGTATGTTCTCCTTTACATTCACTGACATCAGAAGTCTTTTCAGTGTAGCTGAGGTCAGGGTTAGAGATGTCTCCTCCACCAAAACCCTGGGGCCTTATGTTCAGACAAGCCTTAGACATCGTGGATCCTTTGAACTCCATCTCAGTAGCTTAAATCTGAAACATGCTTCAAAGCCCTTGGCGGCTGTTGAGTAGTTCACAGCACTATTCAGCTTGCCGGTGCAGTATAGATCTGAATTACCCAGGCGGAACTCTCTGGAGGCTCAGACTAGGTGGATACAAAGATATATAATACTTTTTTGTGCTCAGATGCCCAGAGTGTGCTTTAAGTTTTTATACACGGAAGGATAAACTTAATAGACCTGTGAATCTATAATGTGGGTCTCACCATGTACTTGTTTTACACCCACTGCATTCACACTACTGGCGTCATCACAGTTTGTATAGCTGAAAGGAAAGCAGGCAATGTGAGTTGATTTCTATGTTTGGAATGGAATACAAGCATACTGCTCAGTATAAACTGTATACTGCATACTATTTAAAAAATATATATTATGTTGGAAATGGAATGCATTATCTGGTGATCAATATTTTAAACTGCAGCAGGAAATGTATGTCATTTAAATCAGCAAATAATGATGATTTTAACTTTTTTAAATTCTTTTTTGTATAGAAATGTCTTAATTATTGTCAGTTCTGTCAAATAACCAGTCAAGAAGGAGATCAAGTTTTTAAATGTAAAATTTGACTTCTAGTTTAAACATAACGAACGTATGCATTGTTAACAAAATCAGTTTTGTTTTGTTTTGTTTTGTTTTGTTTTGTTTTGGTTTGCTTTGCTTTGCTTTGATTTGAATTTAAGAACACTGTGAGTCAAAGGTCAGATGATAGCCAGATAGTCAGATTATGTTTTTGAAGTATTAAATCTAAGATTGTTACATTTCGTTGTGTGAATATTCGTATGTTCTCCTTTACATTCACTGACATCAGAAGTCTTTTCAGTGTAGCTGAGGTCAGGGTTAGAGATGTCTCCTCCACCAAAACCCTGGGGCCTTATGTTCAGACAAGCCTTAGACATCGTGGATCCTTTGAACTCCATCTCAGTAGCTTAAATCTGAAACATGCTTCAAAGCCCTTGGCGGCTGTTGAGTAGTTTGTTTTGTTTTGTTTTGTTTTGGTTTGCTTTGCTTTGCTTTGCTTTGCTTTGCTTTGATTTGAATTTAAGAACACTGTGAGTCAAAGGTCAGATGATAGCCAGATAGTCAGATTATGTTTTTGAAGTATTAAATCTAAGATTGTTACATTTCGTTGTGTGAATATTCGTATGTTCTCCTTTACATTCACTGACATCAGAAGTCTTTTCAGTGTAGCTGAGGTCAGGGTTAGAGATGTCTCCTCCACCAAAACCCTGGGGCCTTATGTTCAGACAAGCCTTAGACATCGTGGATCCTTTGAACTCCATCTCAGTAGCTTAAATCTGAAACATGCTTCAAAGCCCTTGGCGGCTGTTGAGTAGTTCACAGCACTATTCAGCTTGCCGGTGCAGTATAGATCTGAATTACCCAGGCGGAACTCTCTGGAGGCTCAGACTAGGTGGATACAAAGATATATAATACTTTTTTGTGCTCAGATGCCCAGAGTGTGCTTTAAGTTTTTATACACGGAAGGATAAACTTAATAGACCTGTGAATCTATAATGTGGGTCTCACCGTGTACTTGTTTTACACCCACTGCATTCACACTACTGGCGTCATCACAGTTTGTATAGCTGAAAGGAAAGCAGGCAATGTGAGTTGATTTCTATGTTTGGAATGGAATACAAGCATACTGCTCAGTATAAACTGTATACTGCATACTATTTAAAAAATATATATTATGTTGGAAATGGAATGCATTATCTGGTGATCAATATTTTAAACTGCAGCAGGAAATGTATGTCATTTAAATCAGCAAATAATGATGATTTTAACTTTTTTAAATTCTTTTTTGTATAGAAATGTCTTAATTATTGTCAGTTCTGTCAAATAACCAGTCAAGAAGGAGATCAAGTTTTTAAATGTAAAATTTGACTTCTAGTTTAAACATAACGCTGGAAATGAAATATCAAGTCAAGAGTATATAGAAGGTCAACCAGATACCCTATGCAAACATACAATTTCAAACTCTTAAAGGTTTAGGATCAGTGAGATATATTACAATTGATGCTTTAAAGTGTTAATTAAAGCAAGGATGTATTACATTTAAATGTATAATATTACAAAAGATTTAAATAAATGCTGTTTTGAACTTTATATTCATTAAAGAATCCACAAAAAAAAAATGAATCACAGTTTCCACAAAAATATTAAGCCGCACAACTGTTTTCAACATTGATAATAATCAGAAATGTTTAAGCACCAAATCAGCATATTAGAATGATTTTTGAAAGGACCATGTGACACTGAATGCTAAAGTAATGACTGCAGAAAATTCAGATTTGCCATCGCAGGAATAAATGACATTTTAAAATGTATTGCAAAAGAAAACAGTTATTTTAAACTGTAATGATTTTTCACAGTATTTTTTGTTTAAAATAAATGCAGCATTTCTGAGCATGAGAGAATTCTTTCAAAATCTTTAAAAAAAATCTTACCAAACTCCAAACTTTTGAATGGTAGTTGTACACACTATCAACACAACAATTATTTCTCCATATAACTACCTCTAGATATTCAGTGACTCAACTTTGATAACCTTGAACCTAGTTGCAAGTTTCACTTTGCAACAGTTTGACCCAGAATTCTGTCTGGATTACCCTGTGGATTTGGTGAAGTCTTATGAGAAACTTGTGTTAAATTCTGTGTGTGTGTGTGTGTGTGTGTGTGCGTGTTTTGACAGGCACACCTGGTGGCGGCGTTTGAGAAAAGTCTGACAAACATGACCTGTCGACTGCAGAGTCTAACCATGACAGCGGAGCAAAAGGTAGGAATGGTCCTACACACACAAATAACTAAAACATTTAAATGTTTTTTAGTGTTCAGCACATACAGTATTCTACCAATCAGATGATATTACGTTTTTTTTGGACAAGTCCAAGCAGTTCTTCCAACCACCCATCAACAAAACCATCTAGTCATCATGTAAATGTAACCTTCAGGTTAAAATGTGAAACTGCTCCCATAATTTGCACAAAGCACCCTCATCGACTTAATGAGTTCCTGCCGCTGTTAATCCCTCTAGAATAAACCATCAGAGATTACAGAGGGACGTCTTTTGTCAAGGCGGCCCGACTTTCAATTAAAGCAGAAACCCTATCGCAAGCTCTAAAATCCTGAGCTCTGCATATACAGAGACCGTGTGGCGGTGAAATAGGATGGTTGGGGGCCTACAACACATGGTCAGTTCCTCAGATCAGCGGGGCGCTTATCTCCACATGTGCTTTTTTTGGCAGAAAACATCTGATAGAGGAATAAGACAGCTGGTATGGTACGAGGGGGAGTGTACGTTTTGTATACAAAAGAGTTTGTGTAGGGTCAAAAACTGCAAGTGCCATGTGGCTCACTTCATCTCTAGTGATTCTGAAGTAAAGCTGATGTGATATTTTAATTAGAAATGTTTGCTAGCATCAGAAATATTATTGTGCATACTTAGAGTTTGGGATTTGAACAAACCACTTACCGTAAGTGTTCAAGTTTGGTGCACAACTCGCCTTGCACCATTTGAGTAACATACATTAATCATAATCATGTGGCTTGATGGGGTGAGGCGTGCTTTTTCTTTTCTAAGCAATTAAGGGAAGTGGTTTGTGTTTATTTTCAGAGTAACTGCGTTTGTGTGATTGTGTTGTAGGAGTCCGAGCTTGCAGAGTTAAGAGAGACCATCGAGGCATTGAAAACTCAGAACACAGATGCTCAGACGGCCATTCAAGTTGCCCTCAACGGCCCTGATCACGTTCATAAAGGTGCTGCTTGTGTACATCAAAATTTGTCTTTCTGTTTTACAATTATTAAATGAATATTTTGGATTCACTACAATTTAAGGTGCGGTCACATTTACTGCTGTTCAGTTGAATTTTCACAGACAAAGTCCAGTCATTTCATGTGGATCTTCCCACGCAGATTTTGCAGGGGGTTCAAGTTGGTCACACAAATTTTCTGTATCTACCAACAGAAAGCTGCTCGGCTTGAAAGTGACTTGTGATAGTGTTAGCTATGCTTCATACATCACTACACTATTGAATAGATAATGGACCTTTATTACCCACGAAATTTCTTCAATCTGACCACACCAGTCAGCAACACTTGTGGTATAATATCAATGACCACTAAAATGAATTTAATTTTTTAACGTGATGTAAAATTAACATTGTCTGTGTAAAGGTATAAGCCATTTTTCTTTGTTTCCATGACAAAGTAACACATAAAGCCCTGTAAAATAACTGTAAAATAGACAATTTAAACTTCACAGCTTATATAATACAATAATACAAGTTTTAGCAGAAGAATAAATCTACAGTAAGTGCTTTTGTAAAATTGTAAGCTTCCGTTTTCTGCTCTTAAAATCGACCATATTCACTTCCATTGTAAGTGCCTCACTGTAATTCACAAATATGTTTGTTATGCATTGACCGTTGTGTGTGTGTGTTTGTGTGTGTAGCAGACCTGAGGATCCATCGACAGCACTCGTCAGAAAGCATGTCCAGTATTAACAGTGCAGCCAGCCACTCCAGTATGGGTAGCGCTAAAGATGCAGACGACAAGAAGAAAAAGAAGAAAAGCTGGGTGAGTCACTTCACAAAGCTTCATCATCACACCACAAGGCTCATCCACGGTTAGAATGATGACTACAACTGTGATGAAAGCACAGAATAAAAAAAAAAAAAAGATTTTGATGAACTTAAGTGGCCCTCAAAATTATGTGGACACATAAGCGAGACTATATATATATATATATATTAAAATATATTAACGTCACTATAACAAAATATATAAATATATAACAAATTTTGCTAGAACTTTACTCAAAACTAAATTTCCAGCATCATTTTTGCAATGAACTGGTGTCAAGGTTATTTTAGTGACCTTAAGGTTTTATAAGCAGAAATTTTCCATAAATTCATTTTGAACAGATATTTAATGATTTATAATATAATATAATATAAATATAATTTATTATACAAATCTAAAATAAAAATGTTTAATGAAAAATTTCTCTCTTTTTTTAGAGAGAAAAAGAGTTGTTTTACATAAAGATGTGATTTTTTTATCTGTAAAATAATCACTATTTTTTAATATACTTATTATGTAATCATTCATATATTTTGTTATTATGTCATGATGTTCATGCATTTTTAAGTGTGCCTTAAGTGTCCAAATACTTTTTTGGGCAAATACTCCATAAATGACCATCACAGTTATAATGTTGCGACCTATGTCTATATATTAACACATTTGAGGTATTTAGCAACTGTTTTTGAAATCTTGACTAACATTGAGGAAACAAAAGAGTAGAAAAATGTGTCTTTATCACATATTTTAAGGCTTTTCTCAAATTCTTTTACTATCAAGTGATGTTAATTCAGTCATCATTCTAGTAGTGGCATCTGCTCTCTCAGTTTCGACTTTGGGAACATTAAGTGCATGTAGCACGTACATTTCTGTCATTTCACCCCCTTCCGGCTGTCTCTCCCTCTTTCACACTCTCTCTCACACTTTCTCTGTCTCTCACTTTCTCACCACACCACCAGGGCAAGGATAAAGGACACAAGGTGACTATTACACATCCTCAGACTCTCCTGCATGCCCTTATGGAGGATCCGACATGCTCATCCCACTTTTTTTCCCGTCACCGGCCCTTCAAAACCCTAAACTTCCTCACCCTTTGGTGCTTACCCTTTAGAAAACCAATCTTTATATCTTCTTTTGAGGAATGCACAAATTAAGAACATCTTTTCGCTCAAGTTGCAGTCATTACTGGTGATATATTTACGTATTTACTCCTAGTCAGCTGTTCTAGTTCGCAGTTATTTTACAGATTTATTATCTCCTAACGCTAGCGGGCTGTTGTTTCTTCTCATTTAGGGTGTGCATTAAGTCAAGAGCACTTGAGGTAAACAGCTGTTTGAAAAATAACATTGGCATTGTGTGCAGCAGTTATGGCTACTTTTCCTCAAGCTGCCCTGGACTCTTGTAATGAGAGCAGAGCTCAAACTGAGCTCATAAATACAAATCACCTCTTTATTTATGCGTCCATTAATTATTCATCTGCATAATTGAGGCAGTGTGGTCTCTAGAGTCAAACTGTCTGGAAATGCTGCTTAAAGGTGAAAGACAGTGAGAAAGCAAACTAAAAAGAAAGTGAGTGCGACAAAGGTTGTGAAACAATATATTCATAGCAGGGCTTAACAATAAGGATACATTGTGAGAGAGTTATCTTATGAAAAATCATTTAATATAGATATATGGAAATGTTTAATGAAAAATATATCTTTTTTCAGACATATAAAAAATACTAAAATCTAGATTACTAAAAATAAAATGTAATGCAGTCTAGTCTTGCGTTGTAATTTTACATTGTTTACATTTCTTGTGTATACTACATATATTAATTAAAATATATGATAAATATATTATTATATTAAATGTTATGCATGTATGCACACATTTTATTGTATTAAAAAAACAGAAAAAAGTTGAATGAATATTATATATTTGTGTTCTAACACATAGAAATACTTTGCTGATATTGCAGTATACCTAATTGTCATTACATCTTACATTCCCTCATAATTAGTTTTTTAAAATATATAATATATTATAGTTTTAATTAAACATATTAATAAATATTTAATATGTAATATATGTTATTTGTGTGTATATGAACAAAAGAAGAAAATGCTTAATTACAAACACGTAAAAATACATAGAAAACTAGCTGAGCAAGTACAGTCAGAGCTACTGGCCTGACCAGGTCAGAAAAAAAATCCTTATTGTTGAGCGCACTGATCTCAAATGATGTAGGGGACATAGGCTTCCTGTGGAATGCTGTTATGTGGAATTATCTAGTTCCATACTGACAGGCACAGCCTCCATGAATCATTCAGAGCTAATCAAATGAACAATGAATAAATGATGCCGCTGTGTCTGAATATTCTGGTCCAGCGGTGCACGTTTCAGTCAATGGTAACAGTAAGTGTGTTTTGTCCATAGGTGGCTGATTCCATCCCCGCCCAGGTCAGTGTTTCCTCGTCCCGCATCACTGCGGCCGATTGCCTCTGATAACCTTACCCCCTTAACTGCCCCCACCCCCCCAAATCCTAAGCGTTTCCATAGAAACGTTTGCATGCCACCAGCATCCCCAGTCCCACTGACTGCCAGTATGTTTCTGCTGCTTAATTAGTTCTGCTCAGACAATTATACAAGCAAGCCATTATCTACCCTCCCAAAATGTTACAATCAACCATATTTTTAACCTTTATCTTAAGCTTACCAAAAATCACCCATGTGATGTCTTTATCTATATAGTAACACTTTATAAAACTTTCACTATTTAATGCAATATTTTTTGTATTTTTTATTCTGAATTGTATTGATTCTGTATATATATATAATTTGAATACAAAGGGGAAAAAAGGAAAAGACTTAAGGAATATTTCGGGCTACATAAAGCTACTGTGCCATGTATTTGGTTGCCGCAGAAGATAATTTATCCTGAAAAGTTTGTAAAAAATAAAAACTATGTTGACAGAAATGCCCTTACAATGGAAATCTTGTTGTATGTTGTATAGACTTTCATTGTAAGTGCATTTCTGTACACACATTTTTTTCATTGGCTACGTTTACATGCAACCAAATAATCCATTTGTAATCGGATTGACGGCTCAATCGGACTGAAAAAACTTCATGTAAACACCTTAATCGATCCGATTGAGCTCGATCGGAATGAAATTTCGACCGGATTGAAGGGGGTGGTTTATTCCTTTTCTAATACGATTGAGAGTGCATGTAAACTCTCGATCGGATTGAACCCCGAAACTGCAAGGACTGCACGTGTGCAATGACGCAGAAATAGCGTAATGACGTATGACGCGCGGAACGAGCGGTTCTTCCTTTTGAATAAAGTGTTGTATAAATGCATGTCCTGTCATTATAAAACTCTCCTTTCACTCGGCAACTGTGAAGTGGAGCAGGACAACCTCCCACCAGTCCTTGTTTTGGATTCTCATCAACAGGCAACCCATTTTGGGTGCAGGGAGGGGCATTTTTACTGTGTGATAAATATGAGCAGCACGGCACAGCTGTTTATATGTATATTTATCCATAAATTAATAAATATTAATTCTGCTGTTAAAAACAAATAAATAAACCGTGTAGGAGAGTGGTTATTATGTGCAAACAGTGAGAAACTCTATATTTGGGCAGTGTGCGCATGTCAAAAAAAGCTTGTGACATATAAACACGCACACAAGTGATCAACCCGATCACTTTCTTTAGCGTTCATGTAAACACTACATTCAGATTAATCAATCGGAATGAATTCAGTCTGATTGAACCAAAAATTGTGCATGTAAACGTAGCCAATGATTTAACCTTGTTGTTTCCTTGTATGGTAAATTATTTTCTGTGGTAATTGACAGCATGCGAGTGAGCCAGATTATTCCTTTAATAATATTACTGAAATTTGTTATAAACTGTTATTGGAATATCCAGAGTTAGTACAGATACATAATTCTCCCAAGCTAGGAATCTTATTAATCCATTTCTTCTGCCTGACCACAGAATGTTTTGAAATGATTGTTGTCTGGCTATATTAATTATATTGATTTGTGTTGTTTACTTACAGTTGCGGAGCTCCTTTAAGCAGGCCTTCAGCAAGAAAAAGACTAACAAGCCCCAATCATCTCATGATGAGATTGAAGAGATGACTGACTCCTCCCTCCCTTCTTCACCCAAACTACAACACACCAACAGACAGACCAGCCCCACCCAACCACTGCGCTCATCACCTTCCACCACAGAGTGAGTACAGACACACATATATACAGTATTTGACACCTCTATGAAATGAGGGACATGCATAAACATTTGCATATTAGTTATCTTTTTTATATATACTTTGGTTTTATTTCAATCACAAACCTCACTTGCACATAAAGAACCACAACACATCCAATAAAGAAATCATTTTTTTTTTCATCAGTAACTTCCACTTACTGTATTGTATAGTGATTCTATTGCATGTTTTGTTGAGATTCTTTTTTTGCTTGCTTTCATTTTTTGATAATCATCTTTATATTTCATCCTTTCCCTTAATCATATCTGTATTCTGTCCCTGTTCCTCAATGTCATGTGTCTTTAGAAAGTGTTTTTGCGATAGCAAGTCCTCCTCCATTTGGATGCCAAAGAAAAAGTCAAACGGTCATGTGGTCTACAAGCACAGATCTCGGTAACAGGCACAGTGTGGCATGCTGGGAAGGGTTGAGAGTGTGCAGTGACTAAAATCACCAAAGCTAGTTAACAAAAGATATCCCTTCCCTTCCCTTCACTTTTCACTTGAGCATTTTATGACACACACTAATTGTAATGGGAGATGAACTAAATAATGGAAACTTTTATTAAAAACATTTTTGTAAAAACTAAATAAATATAGTCAAATAGTCAAACCCATGTGTAATATTTTAGAAATAAAATCAGAGATTGCCGGAGTTTGAAGACTTAATACATTATTTATTTATTTATTTATATATGTTGCTTTAACTTCTTAATTTGCCTGTGCTTAATACTGGACAACATGAAGGATTGCCACTTCCTGTTTGTGTTGGTCATGTGCGTGATCTCTAAAGCTGGATTCCATTCAACTCAAAATATTGGAATTTCCTACCTGGAAAAGCCTGATAGAATGTTACTAAAAGTCTGGATTCCAAACATGCAGAAATTCACAACTCTGATTCCATCAAGGTGTGACGATGTATGATGTCAGTCGAACATGCTGGCACCCAAAGAGATTTACAAAGATAATGCTAAAAAATGTACTTTGAAGCATTTTCTTTCTTATAAATCATCTTTCAAACATAGAACCATATTTCAGAGATATCAAGAACAAATATCTATGTCCAACTTTGAATGGAAGGCAGCAAACACCCCTCACAAATTAAAAACACAAGAGTGTGAATATGTGTGCATCAAAATGTGTGTGTATGTAAATATTCTGACCACGTCTAATTCTCCAAGAGTTTGTTGTGAATTAAACCCGCCTGTGTTTTGTAGCTCTCTTGGATGTGTAACAGGGTTGTGACGCCCTCCTCCCTGTACGTTGTGTGTTTGTGCAGATTGTGTGAATGTACAGAGGCCGAGGCAGAGGTTATCCTCCAGCTGAAGAACGAGCTGAGAGAGAAGGAGCTGAAGCTGACTGATATCAGACTGGAGGCGTTAAGCTCCGCCCACCACCTTGACCAGATACGAGAAGCCATGAACCGCATGCAGGTACGTGCACACACACACACACACGCATACATGCTGACTCACTCCAGAGTGCTGCAACATTATATCAATGCCTTGTGAATTCTTATACAGTGTATTTGTGCAATGCAGTGATCTATGAAAATCTGAGTAAGATTTTGTAATGTTTTTAAAAGAAGTCGCTCATGCTTATCAAGGATTTATTTGTTCAAATAAAAAGTCAAATAAAAACAGTAATATTGTGAAATATTAAAACATTTCCATTTCCATTTCTTTAACAAAAATCTTACTGACCCCACGCTTTTGAACAGTAGTGTATATAATAAAACATAATAATAATAATATTTGTCTTTTAATATTATGGAAAAGTACACTATTAGGATCCACACAGAACACTCATAGCAGAGATCATTAAGAAGTTTGTGGAGTCCCATATACTTTTTGAAAGAGCCAGTGAGAGTTGATTTGTTTAAGGAACTGTTTGCTAGCAAACACTTTAAAGTCTGTAACAGAGTGATTGAATGACTAAGATCAGAGAAATTGTTGATAAAAGGGATAAATTGCTCTAATTCCAAGATAAAACACCCAGACGGAGTTGTTCATACTCTTGAAGTATCTGTCTGAGCTTCTCCTTAGCATCGGTTTGCAGAGCCTGGCACGCAAGACTAATCTAAAGATGAAAGAAATCTTTAAACTAACTTCTCCCAGTCTTTAAAAGCCTTAGAAGCCGTTTAGAAACCTCGACAACAGCCAGCAAGTCTTAATCCACTTAGTATGTCACAGAAGCGCATTTCACTCAAGTTTGTGGGAAAGTTACTTTTTTACTTTTCCCTTCTTAACCTTACCAAATGTGGATTTGTGAAGTTTAGTCACAATATTGTGTGTGAATTGCATATGTGTTTCTGTTCAGTTAGGGAAATGTACATACATTTGTCAAAACTATCACTGTAGTGTTGACATTACCTGTTTTTTTTTTACATGCAGAATGAAATTGAGCTGCTGAAGGCAGAGAACGACAGACTGAAGTCCAGCGGCAACACCACACCTGCTGCCACACCTGCTAAAACAGCCCGTCCCCCTTCAGAAACCTCCAGCACGTCCTCCTCATCCTCACGGCAATCTCTGGGGCTGTCGCTGAACAACCTCAACATCACAGACACCATTATGTCAGGTCAGACTTTGCTTCATGATTTGAATGTGGAGCTATTTGGGTCTAACAATGTTTATGCGCCATCGAAATGTCGCTCTAGCCTCGTTTTGGATGATTCTGTAAAGCCTTTGGATGTTCTTCAGATGTTATTCTGTTATGGAAGTAGCTAGAATGCCAGTATGATGGCATTTTCTAATAGCAACAATTACATTAGCTTTATACTTAGCCTGGTCAAATATAACAGTATATACATTATGCAACATGGATATTTACAGTATACGAGCTAATATACCTCATATAATGCAACAAAAGTACAATATAACAGGTTTCAGATTGACACTAATCTTAATTATTAGTGGTGGATGATAAAATCGTTGACAAAATCCAAAAGGGTTACATTAATGGAGCCATATCTAGGAATCAAAATATCATAAAGACTTAGGGATGGACTCTTTGCTCTTTGGCTAGTAAGCAACCACCTTTCAACCTTCAAAAACATCCTATAACCGCATAGCAATGCTTTAAAAAAACACTCAGAACACCTTAGAAACCACATAGCAATGGCCTCGCAACCATCCGCCACTCCCTAGCATCAAGGCAGTGACTTTTTATATGGGCAAGTACAACTCATATTTCAAAAACTGGTGTAAAAGCCAGTGAGAAAAAAGTTTTTTATGACTCAACATTTTGGCGATGCATGATAAACAGTGCTGCATTAGTGTTTTCTTGTGAGACATGATTCTATTTGGCATATAAGGTCACAATTAAAAGCATTGCAAGCAAACTTCATACATATAATCTTCTCGTTGTAGCTGTCCATGTAGATGTTTTTTTTCGAACTGACGAGTCCGTTTTCCACCAGTGTGCAGTGTAGATTTGCATATGGCTGTATTATTGATGATTCTAGTGTGGCGATGATGAAAACTCTGGCATGTGGAAGACCATTTCACAGCTGTGCAGGAAGAGAATGAACGCAGCGAAGAGTGAAATGGCCTCTTTTCTTTAAGGGAGGATTTGAACGCCGGGCCTATGGCCACGTCTCGGGACGGGTTGGCGAAGACTCGTCTGCGCTCCGGCTAATTAAAAGTAGTGACTTTTGTGCTCTCTCATGACTTTGGGCTGCTTAATTGATGGAGAGATGTGTGGAGGAGCACTAGAGCGTGTGGTGGAAGGACGTTATCACCACTCTGCAGAACAGCGTGCCAGACGAATACAAAGCACCTCCCTCCCGCTCATTCACCAAGCTCTTCGTACTCGGCCCATCAAAGCCGCACTCCTCCACTAACAGCCTTCTTCCTGCATTCAAAGCTCTGTTAAAACCAAACAGCTCAGCCCCACAGAAAGCAAAGCTTAAAGCAGTTGGCGTTTAACTACAGTCAAAGCTGAACATTAGTGTCATCGCTTACCGAATTTGTCAGCGCTGAAAAGGTTCTGCTCCCCCACAGTTAATGACTCATTTGGCGATAAGTCTTTTGAGTTGTTCAGGCGTTGATATTTTTGTCACGAAGTGAGTTTGAAGTTTGCGTTTGTGTGCACAGATATTCTGCTCGATGATGGCTATGAGGGCAATCTACGCAAAGAGGGCAGGAGTGTCCGTATAGTGGTCACCATCAACAGCGACTCCAACAAAACCAAGGTATAAAGAGTCTTTTGAATTCCATCAGCTGTTTTGAAATGAAACTACTAGTAAACAATACCTTACAAGCATCATTTCCTCTGTATCCTCTCATCATCTTAGGCTAGGCAGAAGAAGGAGTATCTGATTGGCTCCATTGGCGTCAGCGGCAAGACTAAGTGGGATGTGTTGGACGGTGTAATACGACGCTTGTTTAAGGTGCCAGTTCAGCTTCTTGCAAAATTAGATGCACGTTTCAGGTGCCATATTTCAGGTCTAACAGATTCATTTTGCTTGCATTTAGGAGTATGTGTTCCGAGTGGACCCATTGACCAGTTTGGGCCTGAATTCGGATAGTATAGTGTGCTACAGGATGGGGGATGTGGTCCGATCTCATGCCTCTGAGGTTCCTGAACTGTTGCCATGTGGATATCTGGTGGGCGACAACAACGTCATCAGAGTCAGTCTCAAAGGTGAGGAAGCTCAGAAGGTTCTTGTAGGGTCCATAAAAGAGGTCAAATGTGCTGCGAAGATTTGAAAATGTCTTTTTGTTTATGTAGGTGTGAAGGAGGGTAGCATTGATGACTTGGTGTTTGACACACTGATTCCTAAACCCATCATTCAACGCTACTTAAACCTGCTGATGGAGCACCATAGAATTATCTTGTCTGGTCCCAGCGGAACGGGTAAATCCTTCCTAGCCACTAAACTAGCTTACTACATCATCTCCAAGACTGGTCAAGTGGTGACCGACACTAACCTGGCTAGGTTCAATGTGGACCAGAAATCCAGCAAGGTACATATTTCCAGTCTGGGAAGGGGTCTAAATAAATCATTTTAAGGTGTGCTGCAAGTGGAAACAAATGAAATTGCAAAAATAAGGGTTTTAATGAAGGTTTTCCCTATCTGCTATTGGTTGGACCAACATATAATTCCACCTCAAACTCACACCATCCATCAATGTTGCTGATATATTAGTTATATAATAGAAATGAAGTAGGTCTTCAGTAGATGCGTAACACTTCATGTGCTTTGTGTTTGCGATGAGCAGGATCTTCGGCAGTACCTCTCAAGCCTGGCCGAGCAGTGCAACACCGAGGAGTGTGAGATCGAGCTGCCCTCTGTAGTTATTCTGGATAACCTCCATCATATTGGCTCCCTTAGTGACATCTTTAATGGATTCCTCAACTGCAAATATCACAAATGGTGATTATTCCTATTATCCCAAATTTGAGAACTTTTTTATTTTGCTTAATTAGGCAATCAGGTACGAGAGACCTGCTATATTGTGCACACACAATACCATTCAAAAATCTGTGGTCATTTTTTTTTTTTACATGTTTTTCAAGAAGACCTTTATAATGTTTCTTTTTCAAATAAATGCTGTTCTTTTGAAATGTTCATCAAAGAATCCTGAAAAAATGTAGCATGGTTTCCACAAAAATAGAAAGCAGTACAACTGTTTGCAACATTGATAATTATATTAAATGTTTCTTGAGCACCAAATTAACATATTCATATTAGCATATAGCAAGACTGGAGTAATGGCTGCTAGAAATTCAGCTTTATTATAAATTATCAATAATATTACTGTATTTTTGATCAAATAAACACAGTCTTGGTAAACACAGACTCCTTTTTGGATTTGTTGGTAATTGGTTATAGACAACAGCTACTACCTTATAATAATAAAATGGACATACATTTTTCACACAATTTATTTAAAATGAAAAGATTATGTTAATAGTTTTAGCTTAATATTTTTTTATATACGAGTATTGCTTTGCATCATGTCCAGCCAGCATCCAATACTGGAACCACAGTATGTCACCCATTTTTGTGGATTTTCCTTGTCTATCAAACTGATCAAATATTCATAAATTACATCTAATTATGTGCAACTGTCCCTTCCACAGCCCGTACGTCATAGGAACTATGAACCAGGGTGTTTCCTCATCTCCAAACTTGGAGTTGCATCATAACTTCAGGTACTTTGTTCAGATATTTGACATGTCAATGTAGCACATGGTTGTGAACAAGACAAACAGCATCTGATGATTGTTAATTACAGCCTCTCGCCACATGGGGGCCATAAGTGATCATATTTTACATTTGTCACTTACACGCATACATACACGTACAGTACAAAAACAAACGCACACTGATCTTTCCAGTCATGTTCTTCAGTGTAATATCAGACCATCATCCCCTCAGGTGGGTGCTGTGTGCCAATCACACTGAGCCAGTGAAGGGCTTCCTGGGCCGATTCCTGAGAAGAAAGCTGATTGAAACTGAGATTGATAAAAACATGCGCAGTAACGACCTCATCAAAATCATCGACTGGATCCCTAAAACCTGGCAACACCTCAATTCCTTCCTAGAGGCTCACAGCTCCTCAGACGTCACTATCGGTAATACACACAACACACAAGCCACATTTGATATGGTTATTCTGCACAGAACAGAGGTGAGATATTTATTCCTGTCACTTCTAGGTCCTCGACTGTTCTTGTCCTGTCCGATGGATGCAGACGGTTCACGTGTGTGGTTTACCGACCTGTGGAACTATTCTTTAGTGCCATATCTGCTGGAAGCAGTACGAGAAGGACTGCAGGTATACATGCAATCACACACAATCATGTATTATGTTTTTTTTTTTCTCACAGTTTGTAGCTAAAACTTTTTGTTATCTGCTTGACTCATTGCTCCAGCTGTATGGAAAGAGGGTGGCATGGGAGGACCCGTCCAAATGGGTGATTGACACCTATCCCTGGAGCTCTGCCTCCCTGCAACATGAAGGCCAGTCACTGCTGCAGCTGCGGCCGGAAGATGTGGGCTATGATGGCTACAGCCCCTCTAAAGACGGAGCCGCCTCCAAACAAGTATCTCAGAGCGACACAGAGGGAGACCCACTGGTAAAGATAGCTTCATAAAACATAGTTAATTTAGGTAATACACTACTGTTCAAAAATTTGGGGTTGGATTAAAAATATAGCAATATTGTAAAATATTATTGCCATTTAAAATTCTATTTTAGTGTATTTAAATGTAATTTATTCCTGTGGTGGTAAAGCTGAATTTTCAGCATCATCGCTCCAGTCTTCAGTGTCACAGGATCCTTCAGAAATCATTCTAATATGCTGATTTGCGTCTCAAAAAACATTTATTATTATGGCCAGTATTAAAACAGAAATAAAAAAAAAACGTGTAATATTATGTCTTTACTATTATGTTTGATACATTTAATGTGTCCTTGTTAAATAAAAGCACTGATTTCGTACCCCAACCTTTTAATGGTAGTGTAGACTGTACTGTACGTTATAAGATGCTAAGAGATAAAGTCTTGCTAAATAACTAGCTCTTTTTCTATATGGGCTAGAAACTGCCCAAGGGCAGCAAGATGAAACATGGGCAGTATTTCAGAGAATATAGATACTTTGAAGTCTACAGTGCGATCTAGATCAAATTCTCATATATTTTTCTAAAATGTCCTTGAATAATAAAGACCAAGTAAACATAAACAAGCAGGGGCTCTGATAACCTGTCTGTCAGTGATAAGCGCGCACGTGTGTGTGTGTGTGTGTGTGTGTGTGTGTGTGTGTGAATACATTGCATGTGCTCTAATCAAAAGGACCCAGTTCAACAATTACCATTGTTCAGCAAATGTTTGAAGGCAAAATTCAGTCATTTCAAATAGGAATACATGCAAGTGTGAATTTTGCATGAGGGCAAATAAATAAATAACCCACACAGATTTCACAGCAGGTTCAAGATGGTTACATAAATTTACAATGGTAAGCGGCTTGGTTTGAAAGTGACTTCTGAAAGAGCTTTGCTTCATACATCGCTACACTATTAACAATAGACAATTGACCTTTTTTGCACATGAAATTCGGCTGAAAATTTGATAATGTGATTGCAGCTAAACATTTTGGCTACTTGTGTTTCTGTTTATTTTCACTGTCACTGTTTTTTCCAGAAAAATAGAACATGCCTTGGCTATTCATTTTTCTTAAATAGTTCACAACATTGTTTAATTATATAGTTTACAATGATCTAGTGATCTAGAACACAAATACTTTTTTAATTCTATTTGTAAGTAAATAAATAGAGAGGTACGTTACTTAATGGAAGAAGTAACTTTTATTAGGTAAAATAAAAATAAAAATGCATTACATACTTATTACTCTTGTAGTAACTTAATTACATATATTTGTTACTTGTAACCCTGACACTGACTGTTACCTCCGCATTGCAAACATTTATTTTCCTTCTCTGTCCATTAGATGAATATGCTGATGAGGCTACAGGAAGCTGCTAACTACTCCAGCGCCCAGAGCTGTGACAGCGACAGCGCCAGTCACCACGACGACCTGCTGGACTCCTCATTGGAGTCTGCCCTCTAAACCCCGCCCCATTAGAAGAAGAAACCTTCTGATTGGTTGAAAAACAGAGCAAAGGGCCCACAGGACTTGTGCTTATGAAACAGCCTCCGGTGGTAAAAGGATGCAGAGTCCAGGATACGGCGAATGAAAAGGTGCTGGTGGCACACACGACACTGGCGAAAAAGCGTGTGTGCCCACATAATTAAAAAAACAACTGGAATTTGAATTTGTTGGAGGTGATCCGTTAGTTAAACATGTTTACAGAGGCAAAAGTTTATTTTAAATTCACTGAGGTGCAAAAACCTAAAGGGCAACATTCTGAATTCTGACCTCAGTTAATAAACTGGTGCTGCCGTGGTGCCAAAACCAACATGCGGTTTACACTCATCTCGCCAGCACTATTCATGAAACACGTCTAGCCAACAAGCACAAACGTGCAACGTGTCATTACCACTACTGTCAAATCATATGCAAATTCGCCACCACTCGTTTTACTGCCAAGCGTATAGTGACCTACAGCATCCCTGCACCACCGACTGCAGCTTACACACCGTTCCATGCAGTAGTCTTTGATTGGACCCCACAGCCGTGTGCGTAGTTCTTTCTCTTCTCCACAGGTACAAGACAACTGCTTGTAGGAGAGTGTACCAGCTTTGTGAAAAAGACCAGAAAATGGTGCTTTCTTGCTGCCTTAAGTGTGCTGAGCTCTGAAGACATTGAAACGCGGTGCCGCTGTCCTTTTTCGCAGAAATGATGACGTAGGACAGAACCGATCAAACATTTTCCTAAAGATGCCACGTCCACATATTTTATTTTTGTTACAATTAGTGTGTTAGTGTAAAACACGCCATTATAAACGGTCCAGATGTATACAAGTAAAAAAGATCTTTATGTAATCCCAGTTGAGCTGGGATCACTTGAATCGAGAGCACAAATCCGACGCGTCGCTTCGCTAGCATGCTGTTTTTACTTTGCTATATGTGTGTACGTGCACACGGAAACGATTTTTTTTTCCGCTCCCGTGCACCAGTGTTCTTGTAGTCGAAGTTCATTCATCCTTTCTTTTGTTTGCTATGTGGGCTTTGCACAATTGAAAAGGTGATTGTAAATATCCAAGTCTTGCACAGCCTCTTAAAGATGCACTCTGGCCTGTCGGTATTGCGTTTCTGCTTTTCTAGTCTAGCATTACGCTCTTGAGATTTACAGAGGGAAAAAAAAGCAAACCAGCAACCTGTCCAAACCGTATATGTCTTGTAATGACTGGTTATTATACAGAGCTCTAAACTGTACAGTGAAGGGTGAAGTGTTTTTCAATTTCAAAAAACTTTAGTGTCAGTTTACTGTTCAAGGGCGTAAAATCGGTTTTATCTTCGCAATGCATCAGAGCCCGACCATATCTAACTTGCATTACACTGTTACACTTCCTATCCTGCAGCTTTCAGATACACTGGTCCCTTTGGATGTAAGCCACACCTAAAGACCCCATGAATGTTTTCTGACAACCGCAAGCTATTGTAGAACCGGACTGCCGAAAATAGCCATTCTAAAGAGCATTTGATTGGACAAAAAATGTGTATGCATCTTTAAATGCAGGATAAGTCGTATTTCTGTCTATTATGATTCAAATATGTTTATGAAAGATAAATACTGTACATTTTAAATGTGAATATCTGCTTAAAATATTTTTGTCAACTTTTAGGAGTACAAGAGCATATAAATGACCTTAAAACTAATAGGCAGACAAAAAGCCACAAAACTCTTCATTTTAAATTCATGGGATTTTTAAAAATTCATGAGTATCATTGCACTAGATAAAAAAAATTAAATCAAGTGGCTTATATTTTGCAAACAAACATCTCACAAAGTGTGTTACATTTTTAAATAATGAAACATTACAGTGTTCAAAACGAAGACAAAAAGTATACACTTTCTGATCGTAGATGAACTACACATGTGGTTACTTTGCAAGGACTTATTTGGGACTCCACTACAAAATTAACACGAGGCAAAATTCATTGCAAAAATGGCTTAGAAAAGTGAAGTTAGTTGAAGGTGTAATATTATTTGTTATGAAGATGCAACTTGGTTTGGTGTTTTGCTATCTAATGCAATGATATTCAAGTGTCTGAATACTTCGTTGGGCATCTGTCAATCACTTACGATTTAGCAACATTTTTAAACAGATTTACTGTGAAAGACTTTTCATTGGATTATATTTTAAGAGTTTGCACATGTTTACAGTAAATTAGTCTCTGTTTGTTTGATGTACATGGTCAGGAGATACAAGGTGTTTCATACAAGGTGCTATAGGTGAATCATTGAAAAGAGTTGCATCTCTGTCTTATATGATCAGGCCTTTACCACATCCAGCTTCACCTTCTGACTCAAACTGCTTGGCACAAAGTAACTCATTCTCACTGCCACAGTTTTACAGGCTTTAACCTTCCAGTCTTTCCAATCTACCTTTTTGTTGATTCAGGAAACTGCTTCTTTTTTAATTCCTCGGCACTACAGCGGTGCTATGTATTAACCTCCAAACTCTGTGACTCTGTGCCTGATGCTTTGCTTGTCAGCCATTGTTCAGTGTAAAACTACTTAACAGAAACATTTATAAGAAGTGCAGTAAAGGTTTCAAACTGCCTAATGGTCCCCTTAACCTCAAACACAAATAGTGATTGTCCGTGGTACATCAGAAATCTTCTTTTCATTTTCTTCATGTTACTGCAAACACATCTCTCGGTGAGCGCATAACATTGAACTACTTTGAAAATGTTTCTTTTCAGGTGGAACATTTGTTGGTGGATGTTTTATATTTTGTACATTTGTAAGTAACATATCATGTAAATAGAAAGAGACCACAATTTAATTCATCTGGGGGATTTTGTAGTCTTTGTAAAGCCCTAATAAATGGTATTTGGTGTCACCTGCAGCATTGAGCGTTGATTCATTATTTATATATTTATCAAAATGATTGTATAATTGTTTTGTCTTTGTGTGTGTGTGTGTGTGTGTCATTTTGTCTTGCAAAGTACAATTCAGTTCAGTTTTACCAATAAATGATTCACTAATGAAACTTATGTCCTCTTGTGGTTTTGGAAGAAATAGCGTCACGCCTGTGCTGTGGCCACAGCTTATTCTGAATTGATTACAGTGAGTTAGTCCAGAGTACATTTCTCTACAGCTTTAGACTTGTGAGGAACTGACTTCAAAAACAAATGCAATATTTGTAGGGTTTATTTTAGGTAGCCAAGCTTCTGAAATTGCATACTGTCTTAGTAGAATATGTAATTACTTTGCAGCCTTTACAGTATACTCTATATGGAAATATTCTATGTAGAATGAATGTGTGTGGTATAAATGTAATCCAGATGTACTATATTCGTCACTGTCATGTGACCTACAGCGTTATTTGTGATTACCAAATCCTCTATCGTGGCCTCATAGGACAGTCAAGTCTCCATTTGATGTGCACTTCAGAATCTCTCTACTTTTGCCTCATTTGGACAACCTGCTCTTTTCACATACTACACATAGTAGGGAAGTATGCACTATGCACTTTTGCTAATGAATGATCTGCAGAATGATGCTGGCATGACTGACCTCTGTGTGATCTGTGGTCTGACAGGCTGGTCCACAATAGACCTCATTAGACCAGCCTTTCAGCTGCACACCTTATTAAACTGGCCTTCAAAACAGAAAACGCATTCATGTCTGCAGTGATTCTCATTTTTAGACTGCATTTTTACATGAGTGATAATAAAGATGTTGTCTACACTGTAAAAAAAATTCTGTAGTTTTTACAAAATAATTTTGGCAGCTGTGGTTGCCAGAATAATTTTGTAAAAAATACAGAAAAACTGTAAACACATTTACGGTATAAAAATAAATTTTACAGTATAAAATTGTAATTTACAAACAAGAAAATTTGAATGTAAACCAGTAAATTCAACAATTCACACTGCTATTAAAATCTGTTTTGTACCTTTAACATACTGACAACCACCATAATAATGCAGGTGGTAAAAGAGAAAGCCACATGAAGAATCAAAGCTCATCACAAGTAGCTTCGCCACAAGCAGAAGTATATACTAATATATAGAAGGTGCACAGAGTCATTCATGGAAACACAAAACACCATCATGGTAACACACATGATACTTAAATAATGCATTAAACTTTCATTAAACGACAGAAGATGTAACATAAAGCCCAAATATACATAACTAATAACAAAAACTATTTAAAAAACATGATTATTTAAATAAAATACTTTCAAATGTGGAGTGTCATGCAGGGAATTCTGGGAATATCAGTTTACAGTTTTTGACTGTAAATTATACATTGATTTGTTATTTTTACTTCTAAAAACTGTAAAATTAACAGCATTTTACTGTAAAATTACATGAAATGTCTGGTTAGATATTTTACAGTTTTTCCCTGTATATAGTACGGGACTTTACTGTTAACCTATTAACAGTTTTTTTCCGTAGCGTTTTTACAAAATTTTACAGTTAAAATTACACTTATTTTTTACAGTGTAGTTATGTCCTCAAAAGTGTGTATTATCACCACACTTTATTCAATGAGGTGTCCTTTAAACTTGTGAAGTTGTATTTGTCTCTTCAAACTGAATCAGTGTCTTGCTTTGTCAAGAGCAGGAACAATCAGCGGCTTTTTCCTAGAAACCCAAGCAATAAACAGTGCAAAGCTCCCTTCCCACGCCATTTATTAAAATTAAGCTGCAAAAACAAATCGGTCATAAATAGTAATGATAATGTCTAAAGGTCAAGGAGGGGTGGAAAATGGCCATATAAAACTAAACTATGACATGTATATAGCCCATTTAAACCCTTTTAGCACACAGTCACTGTATATTTACAGCTTAAATGCAGCTTCTGTGCAATGTAGGAATAGCCACAAATTGGTTAACCGAACAAACATTTTGATCAAATAAGTTTGAATATGTGTTTTATGTTTTGTATCATATTAGATACATCAGCCTTGTATGACCCATAATATAGTGAGAATATGGAGCTCACACACATCAGTTTTATTTAGAGCCCCAAACTGAGCAAAATATGCAGTTTGGTGCAGCTGTTTTTTCACATGGCCAAATAGTAAGATGACATTTTGATAGCTTGTAATGTAAATCAATGAGATTCGTTATTCACAGCTTTTCACTTCCCAAGACGTGAATTGATTTACTGGAGAATTATTGTGATGTTTTGATCAGCTGTTTGGACTCTCATGCTGACGGCACCCATTCACTGTAGAGGATCCATTGCTGAGCAAATTATGGAATGCTAAATTTCTCCAAATCTGTACTCTTCTCCTGACATCAGTACAAACAAGCAAGTAGATAAAATGTCTTAGCCAAGAGGAAGGTGTGCGCTTAATTTGAGGATTGTACACTGCTGAAAAAGTGATGAAAATCTTGAGAGTGTAGCTGTGCAGGGTTGATTGATCCTTTCCGTTCCTTTCCCAGCATCACTCTGAGCTTCAATCTCTCTCTGGGCTTCCACTTGTCAGATAAATAAATGGCTTATCAGTGTCTAATTCCATAATAGCTAATTATTGATCTGCATGAGCTGGCAGCGTAATTGAAATGAGGCTGGAACATTGTGTCTCGGAGTGCTGGGAAAAGAGACGACCTCACCGTGAATCATTCTCTCTGGTTCACAAAAGACGTCAGTAGATTTGTACCCTCTGGCAGATGAAGAATTTGCAGTAGATTAAAACTCTTGCTATGTTGATGATGACATGAGGTGATTTGATTAGTGAGAACATTTTACCTGCTTACCTCAAATAGACTACACAGTACGCTGAAGAGCAATTCCCATCAGCAAAACGCAAAACACCTGTTTTTGGTAAAGCAATTTCTGTAACAAATTGGTACTGGATCAAAATAAGCTGAAGAAAAAACGTTTATGCATCAAGGAATAACAAACCATCAGATACAAAAAAAATGTCAGATATTTATTATAAATTATTCAGACTCCATCTATTGAACTTTCGCCACAGACAGACAAAAAATTCTGCAGTGCTGATAAAATACCCATATTTCATAATCATACCATGCGTGAATTAAATATGCTAGCCATTTTGTTTTTAGTGTTGGAATATCAAGTTTCTATCAAACAATGTAAGCACAATAATTTAAAATAATGAAAAAAAAAAAAGAAATATGGAAAGAAAACCTTCAGTATGAGGTTGGATAATGTTGACAAATGTAAGAACACAACCATGAAACTTTATAAAGAGTGTATTTTTTAACCCATTACATAATTGAAATTATATTGACCTTTTATTTCAGGACATCAGGACATAGTAGTAATGTTTGCTTAAAAATACATATTTAAATTTCAGTTTTTTTTTTGTTTTTTAGTGAAACTAGTGATCATCTCTTGATATATGTGGACATGTTCTTTTAAAAACTACTTGCAGAAAGTTTTCAGTCTCAGTGAATCAGTGACCTATTATAGAACTTTGGGGGTGGGGGGATTAAATACAAATAATAATAATAATTAAAAAAATGTTCATGATCACGACTTTCATGTGTGTTGAGCTAATCAAATGCAAAATAAATCAAGAACATTTTAAATCCCTCATTTTCAGTGCACTGTGAGCCAGTTGCTCATAATTATAATCTACAAAGTCCCATGAGATAATCTAAAATGAAAAACAGCATGCAGAGTTGCAGTGGTTGCATGAAAACGACCAAGCCTTCCCCATTACAAAAAAATAAAAAATACTTTTCAGAAATAATAAAAAGTGCCTTTGTGTCGCATAATGAGGTAAATTATAGCTTGAGCGGTCGGTGAAAATTACAGGGTGTCAGTCATTTCTGTGAGTTGCTCTTAAACACCCACATTAATTATATCAGCTTCACATCAGTCAAGCTTTTATCAGGTGGGTGTCTGAGAATCCCGCTTAGTGAATACAATGTTTCATCGGAAATAGATTTTTGTGGCTTGTTTTTGTAAATAGGCCATGTCTTAACTGTAGAAAATTTAGTACAGTGTTAAAACTTTTCAGGGAAAATGGCTGACTTCAGACGTTCGGGATCTGTAGTCCCATTCTGAGCTGAGAGATGCTTTTCTACACTAAAGAGTCTCTATTTCAGGCCCATCATTTCTGCTTATTTATCTAAAAAAATCACTAGTGACTAGTTCTACGACCTTTAAGGTAAAGGTGTCGTTTCTTCTTCCAACAAAACTTTGAGACTGCAAAGTACATACACTCTAGAGTGGTGAACAGGCCTCAAACAGGCAAATCCAGCCCTCCATGCTTAGATGGGAACATGTATAAGGGTTGATAAGTGAAGTGTGCTGCTGTCACCGGCAGGTCTGTTCAGTGTTTGCACAGGTTCAGGTCAAAGACATTATACACAGCATGTGATTTCTGACTTTATCACATGTCTCTAGTATATCTTCTGATGGTCTCAGAGGAGCTCCAAGCTCAAGAAGAGAGATAAGATTGGTGAGAATCTGGATGGAAAGATAAGGAAGAGGCAGAAAAAGAGATCTCACATAAACATACAAATTCACATTCATGACACTTGTAATCCTACATACCTTACAAATAACAAGACCTGTTGGTTTCTACCAATGGTTAACAGACATAGAGTCTGAAAATAAGGGATTTTTTTTTTTTTTTTAGTTTTGAGATTTTGAACTATTTTGCTTCCATGTTTTTCAGACTAGTGGAAAGAAAACATCCAAAATCCACATGCAAGTGTGTATTTTATTGCACTTTATCATCTGTAGATTTCAATTAGGCTATAATAGGCTTATTTTTAAAAGTCTTTTTTTTCTTTCAGAAATCTCCACGTCAATAGCACTTACATAACCCAAACTTTACAGTTTTATTCCTGTCTATATTCTGAAGGTTTTCATATGGGGTGGTCAGAGAGTTGAATCCTCT